TTGTTACTATTCCATGTCTTGTGAAATATCATTGTGTCCTTTTTCTGACAATATTCTTATTTCTGTAAGATTTTTGTTCAGTTTATTTTTTCTTTGCTTCTTCTTCTTCTTCTTCTTCTTATTTTCTTCTTGGTTGTTTGTTGATCAAACCAAACTTGAGATGAGTTCTTCAGTTAATTCTCTTCAAATCAACTGGTTGTTATCAATGAAAAGTTTGTAGATTTTGATGATTTACTTAAGATTGGTTTCAAATTCTGGAAGACTGTGTCTGATCAAGGGTGGAATAACTACTTTGAGATGCTTTGTGGTTTCACTTATCCAAGTCTTGTCAAAGAGTTTTGGATTAATGCCTCCATTATTGAGTTGTGTTCAAAGTATGTTATTTTGTCTAGAGTAACTGGTGTTTCTATTATAGTTACCTCTAAAACGATTACAAATGTGATCAATTGTGAGGAGATTGGAGAAATCCCAGGAACTCTTGTTTGGGAACACTATCTTCCTACTTAATGTATCATTGTAGATCCATCTAATACATCAATAGTCTCAAATCTTCTTCTTGATGATGTTTTTTGGAGTCAGATTCTAAATTCAAACTTACTTCCTAAGGATAAGGATTTAGACCAAGTGAACCCTATTAAAAAATATTTGCTTTTACTTCTCAATTCAGATTTGAAGATTGATCTTCCTCAAGTTATGTTTAATCATCTAAAGAGGCCTTTTTCTTCTTCTCAAAAGGGAAAGACCTTCTTTATTCCCTTTGGACGAGTTATTTCTGAGATATTTGTTCAAGAGAGGGTTAACATAAGTTCTGAGGCTAGTTCTTCTAAGATTTAGAAAGACACGTTTGAAACTATCTACGAAAGATTCTAATGTTAAATTTCTGCATAATTATGCTTTGTATTTTTGTATTAAGTTTCTTATTAATAAATTCAATGTTTGTTCAATTTAAACTATTGAATATTAATTTTGTGTTTTTAATGAGAATCTGAAAGAAATAGGAGAAATAACTCAATGTATGCAACTTGTTCTCATTAATAAAAAAGAAGTTATTACAAAACAATTGGATTTCCTAGTCTGTTGGATGTGCCCTAAGGAATTCCCTAGGATCACCTGACATGTCCAGATTATCTAAGAAATTTTGCCATTCTTTCTTAGCAAACTCCAAAGCCTCTCTTTTCAGTTTGTTTATGTGTCTAAATCTAAAAGATTTTCTTCTTCTGTGTGTCTTCACAAAGGATACTGAAGAATAGAGCACTTATGAGGATGTATGCTTGCTTGCAGATCCTTCAGCTGCTGCTTTGCCTTAGTTTGCTTGAGTTGTTGCAATCAGTAGTGTTATCTTCCTGAAACCTCTATTTGAAACCCATATTTGCTTCTGCTTATACATCTTGGTGTTTTAGGGATTAATTGATGATGGAAGAAAGCTTACTAGATTCCTTTTATAGACGTGTTACATACATTGTCTTGAGTTTAATATTATTTAAGTATGGATTAAATCTTATCAGCACTCTAATAATGACTCTTGAAAATGTTATATAGCAGTCTAACTTATTATGATTCTCTAAATAACTATGAGTTTATTTTTGATTTGTTTTAACTCTCGTTTCTGTGTCAATTTCACTTTGTGAATGTACTTTCAGAAAATCTAAAAAAATTACTAGAATATACTTGCATGTTGAAAAGAATTCTTGGTCAAATAAACATTTTCATTAATTAAACTAATGGATCACAAAAATATTTTTAAAAAGGAAACAAGATGATTCTAGAAGAGATCCCTAGCTAGAGCATCTCATGCCCAACAACGTCCACTGTAGTCATAGTCCACCTCTTCGTCTTCAGAATCAATCACTTTTTCCTCTTCTATGACCGGGAGAGAGCGGTAGAACTACTAATTGACCCTCATTTTCTTCCTTGACCTCTTCATACTTTTTCTCATTGGCTTCAAGGCAGTTACTGTTGAACCTCCTTCTGAAGTTCGTTCATGTGTTGTTGAAGTTGCCTCTTTAGAAGTAAGTTGTGCTAAGGGCAATGACTCAGTTTTAGAGGACTTAGAAGAAGCTCGCCCCTAGTGCGATTGTGGCAAGTTTCAAGCCTTTCGTATGCCTTTCTCCCATGTGACTGCGACATGTTCATATGCTCGCTATGATGCTTCCAATCATCTATCCATCACTTACGAAGTCATAAACATATTCAATGTGTACAACAATAGCTTCATATTGGTAGCAAATGAGGATTAATATACCGCATATCAAGGGGACATAATGTGGCACAACAAAAACATGCGAAGAAAGAAAAAAGATCGCTCAACAACACTTGTATTAGAACAGAAATGAATATAACTGATAAAATGGTAAGATTATGTGGTATATGCCGTCAGCCCATACACAGTCGAAAAAGTTGTCCCAACGTTGGAACAAACTTTGCATGATAATTTGTTTTTGGTTACAACAAAATTACTGAAATTCTGGTATCAAATATGAGATGTCGAAGGAGATGTCATGACATTAATATCTGAACAATCAACAATATACGAACAAGATAAAAAGCTGTTAACAATAGTAAATTAACACAAGCAATTGTTAACCCAGTTCGGTGCAAACACACCTACGTCTGGGGGCTACCAGTCAGGAAGGAAATTCACTAAATAAAATTAGTTTGAAGATTCACAGCAAACTCTCTCTAGTTTACAATCTTTGCACCTAATTTCCCCTTGCAATTTCTATCTAAAACACCTTTAGATATGAGACACCTCTCACTCCCACTCAATCACAGTAGTGATAACAACAGATTAATAAAACATAGAAGACACTCTTCAAAGACAATACTTAATCTTGCTTAAAAGCTTCAATCAAGAATAGTGCACTATTGCTTAAAAGCTTAGAGTGAACAACTTACAACTCAAAAACTCAGTCCAATTCACACATAAAGATGATGGGTGAATGACTCACAATTAACAATAACACAAGAAGCTAAAAGCTTATTCCTTATGCAATGCACTAACTTAACCTTAACTTCTCTGATCTTCAAATAGGATTGTGAAGTCTTTATATAGTAACACTTTGAACGGGCTTGGGCTTTGGAAAAAACTACCTCTGATTTGATAAAATCAAATCAGATAATTCTTCAAATCTTTTCATAATTAGCATCAAGGAAATGGAACTAAATCAAATCTGATAAAATCAAATTAACCTCCAAACCTTCTAAAGATTTTCTGCATGAAAATAAAACAAAAGATATCACAATTACTCCACGAATTATGCATTAAAAACTCTTTTGTATAAGGAAGATTTCCACGCAGATTTGTACCACCAAAATCTCTTATCATAACAGCGCAAAAGGTTGCACAAAAATGCAATAGTCAAAACATAACATTCACACTGAATGTTCTGCTTACAAATGTCTGGACATCATACTTGACATCATGAACTAAACCCTGCAACATTAAGAATAACCACCTGCAGAATGTTAAGAACATATGCCAAGACATCCTATAGGACATCTTGTGATAACACCAAGTTTTACCAAAATTCCTGCAAGTCATAGAACTAACAAATACTAAAAAAAACAACACACAAACATAAATATACCTAAAACAACAACACAAATAACAAATAAAAAGTCTCAACACCACAAAATGTCCAAGAGATTACAACAATTAAAACAATATCATCTGATACAAACATCATATCTCTAACATCATCGCCATCTTTAAATCACACTCACATACGCCGCATAACATTACTGTCATCTACAATTGAGATGTACGAAACAAATCCCTCAATACTTCTAATTCTTTTCCATCATTAATCTCTTTGTCTAACCAACTTTTCAAATTCCTTTCAAAATGCTCGAAACTTGGATGTTCCAAAAATCCATTTTCATCATGATAGAGCTAATGAAGAAAAGATAAGGAGAATATGAAAAAAGGTGTGGAGTAAATAGTAGAAGACACTTTTATTTATACTAAAAAAAGCATCCAACACATAGTAGCCAATTGAATTGGCACCACCACTAAGTTGTTGTACATAGGTGCCAGATGAATTTGCGTTAGTACTTAAGCCACTCATGCAGTTGTCAATTAAATTGACTGCACCGCATGCAGTCGCCAATTCAATTGGCTACACCACTTGTTTTTTTAATTGAAATCATGAATTTGTCTGACAACAATTCTTTGTTCTATTTTTTATTTATTTAAAAGTGATTCATTTAGAAATTATGTGAAAAATGTGGTTATTATAAAAAAAGTTAAATATATTTTTGGTCCCTATAAATATCTCATATTTAATTTTTAGTCCTTATAAAAAAAAGAACATATTTTAGTTCCAATGAAAATTTTATGCATGCAGATTGAGTCCTTGTTATTTTCTAAAATTTTGAAAATCATTTAATTACCCCTAAATTTTTAAATTTTTGAATAATTTTTTTCATACGTGTTCAGATTACTATAAAATGTTTCTTTATCAAATTATATAATTTTTTAAAATGAGAAGAATTAAATATGAATTTTTTAAATTTCAAAAGACAATGATAGAAGTAATGAAAATCTCGACCTATACATTAAATTTTGAATTTTTTTTTTGAGGAACTTTTTATATCGTATTAAATATATTTGCAAAATAATCTTTCAAAAATACATATTGATTTAAGAGTAAAAACTAAAACTACATGTATAATCATTTTGTAGGGATCAAAATACGTTATTTTTTTAATAGAGATAAAAATAAAATTCGGTAATTTATAAGGATATTTAACTTTTAATATATTTGAAAAAAAAATGGTTTTCGAATTGTGTATATTGAGTAGAAATTAGAAATAATATATAAAAGCGAGAAACCAAAACCCTTTAGGTTTTGTTGGACCGATGAAGTTTGAAGCATAATTCACTGGCCCGACCCGGTGTGAACGTATAGCATAGCATACCCATTCTTCCCTGCGAATTCTTCACCGAATTCCTTGTCGGCGCTGCTGAAGAAAAAGTTATACACGCCGTATCGGAAAAAATGGGAGGCTTCATGTTAGGTTCGAAGAAGAAGAAAAACAATAAAAGCCAAGGCGGTTTTGAAACTATGGGTTTGAATCCCAATGTGTTTAGGGGAGTGAGGCGTAAAGGTTACAAAGTGCCGACTCCAATTCAGAGGAAGACGATGCCGCTAATCCTCTCCGGCGTCGATGTTGTTGCCATGGCTCGTACTGGTTCTGGCAAAACGGCTGCGTTTCTTGTTCCCATGCTTCATAAGCTTAATCAGCATCTTCCTCAGGCTGGCGTTAGAGGACTCATTTTATCACCAACTAGGGATTTGGCTCTTCAGACTCTCAAATTCACTCAAGAGCTTGGTCACTTCACAGGTTCTTTTTTTTTTCTTCTTTCACTGTATGTATTGTTTGTATAATCAGCTTAATTTGAAGCTTATAGCAGACAATGTTATCACGTAGTGTATTTTGTAATTGCTTATAATGTGAAGTGACTAAGTAGTGATTTTTGATTGAATGTGTTGGTGTAAAACTAATTTTCTCAGACAATATAGGCTTCTTTATCTCATAGTCATAAATTACGGTTAATGTATTCTGATTTCTGTTTCTGTTTGCTTGTTTGTGAATCAGACCTTCGTGTTAGTTTGTTGGTTGGCGGTGATAGTATGGAAAGTCAGTTTGTGGAGTTATCTCAGAGTCCGGACATTATAATTGCCACTCCTGGTAGGCTCATGCACCATTTGTCTGAGGTTGATGACATGTCCTTGCGTAAGGTGGAGTATGTTGTTTTCGATGAGGCTGATTGTTTATTTGGTATGGGTTTTGCTGAGCAGCTACATCAAATTCTTGCTCAGCTTGGTGATAATCGTCAAACCTTGCTTTTCAGTGCTACATTACCCAGTGCCCTTGCAGAATTCGCTAAGGCTGGTCTGCGAGAACCTCGCCTTGTTCGCCTTGATTTGGAAACTAAAATTAGCCCTGACCTGAAGCTTGTCTTTTTCACTTTGAGGCAAGAAGAGAAGTATGCCGCTTTGCTCTATTTGATCAGGGAACTTATTGGTTCTGATGAGCAGACTTTAATTTTTGTATCCACTAAGCATCATGTAGAGTTTCTCAACTCATTGTTTCATCAAGAGGGTATTGAGCCTTCTGTATGTTATGGAGACATGGATCAAGATGCTCGCAAAATGCATGTGTCTAGGTTTAGGTCAAGAAAGACAATGTTGTTGATTGTTACTGATATTGCTGCTCGAGGAATTGACATTCCATTGCTTGATAATGTTATCAATTGGGACTTCTCGCCTAAGCCTAAAATATTTGTTCATCGTGTTGGAAGGGTTGCAAGGGCGGGTCGTACTGGTACCGCTTATTCGTTCTTGACTACCGAGGATATGGCTTATCTCTTGGATCTTCATTTGTTTCTCTCAAAACCAGTGAAAGCTGCTCCCACTGAAGAAGAGGTCTTGCAGGATATGGACGGAGTAATGTCAAGAATTGACCAGGCAATGGCAAATGGAGAAACCATTTATGGCCGTTTCCCTCAAAAAGTCATTGACCTTGTTTCTGACAGAGTTAGGGAAGTTATTGATACTAATGCGGAGCTGGAATCGTTGCAGAGAACCTGTAAAAATGCATTTCGTTTATATTCTAAAACAAAACCCTTACCCTCAAAGGAATCCATTAGAAGAGTAAAGGATTTGCCACCAGAAGGTCTCCATCCAATTTTTAACAGAGTGTTGGGGACGGGAGAGTTAACAGCACTTGCATTTTCTGAACATTTGAAAACTTTTAGGTGAGTGCAAGTTAATATTCATAAACTGGAATTATTCTTAGCAACCCTCTTTAAAAGATTTTATAGATTCATAGCTTTAATAATTCAATATCAGGCCAAAGCAGACCATTTTGGAAGCGGAAGGAGAAGCAGCCAAAGCAAAGCGTAGAGCAGTATGTTTCTACTTTCAATACATTGTCCATAATCCATATTTTGTTTATTATGGTCTAATTTAATAATTCTATTTCTTTATTACGTATTTAGAATGAAACTTTCAAGTTCATCTTTCAATTGACTAAATTTAATGTTTCTCTTGTGCAACTCAACATTTTCCAAATTGTTTTCCATTTTAATATTTTTACATGAAAGTTGGATATGGTGGATCATATGGTTTTTATGCGTCTTTTATCAACTGTCTACGGTCCTTACTGGGTTAACAGATTTTGGCTATCAAATGTTAGTTGAGAAGTTATTTGTATATCTCTTCTTGCAGTGTTTCTCCTTCACTAAAGCCCATGCTTTTTTGTTTCCTATTGCTTCAATCTAATAAGTACCGATCAGAAATCTTAACTGTCCGAGTCAAAGTTACTAAAGTATTAGTCTGTAGGGAAGATGTATTTGTCCTGTTGAGTATAGGGAGTGTATTAAGTTGCTATAGGGATTAATTACTGTTTACCTTGTATATTATGTCAGTTAGTTTGATAGCTTGCTCTTCATTAGAAGGTGTAAGATGAGTTGGAAAAAATGTAAATACCATAGTGTTTATCTTTGGCTCAGCCATCCCTTCCTCTTTTGTCTCCCCACTCCCAGACTCTTTCTCTTTCAGATATGCATTGCTGCCTGCTCCAACTTTTTTAAACTAAAGATATTTTTGTTGATAGGAGGATTGCAATATGCATGGATAGTATGTGAATGATTTTGTATTATTGAGTTTTGGGGGACTCAATTAATTTGTCTAACATAATTTCGATATGCCTGCTTGTTTGTTGCTTCTACATCCTACATTAGACACATGCTTGTGTGTTTGCAATAGTAAGACATTCTAGCCATGCCTTGATGGCATTTTTCAATCACAACATGCATAATGCAAGGGTCACATTGTACATATTGTAGTTGCTTTTATTGAAGAAACTCATTTGGTTTTGAAAAAAAAAATAGTTTTGTTTATTGCATTTCATATATATCTAATTATGTTTGGATATTAGATGGTGTGATATGGCGTCGTTACTTAAAACACTTGGCTTTCATGCCATTTTCTTATCTTGCTCTTAGTTTGAATTTTGCTGCACTGTATTGACGACTATGAATTAGATGTTTCATCCATGCTCCATGCTATATCATATTGGACTTTGCACTGCCTGCCATGTAAACCTAATGAAATATCTGTTTTAGTGTACATGCCTGCATTACTGTCTTTCTGCTTTACCTTTTACCTTAAGATTAAAAATTTAAAATGAAGCTCAAAAAATATTTACAGGGCCCTTCTGGTCAATGGGTTGATGTGATGAAAAGGAAAAGAGCCATTCATGAATCTACTATAAATTTGTTTCTTGAACAAAAGTCTAAGAGTACTAGTGAGAAGGTACGTAGCTATTACAGTAACTTGGATTTGGACTAGTCCGACTACCCTTTTTTTAATCATTGAAATCAATCTAGTTAGCTTATTTAAACATTTTATTTTCATTTATCGTGGACAATACATATGTTTCATTGCAGGAGGAATTTCAACAGGAACCAACTTCAGCGGGGAAAGGGAGAAAAGGTTTTGTTCCATTTCAATGTCATTACATGTTCTTTAAGTCTGATTGTTGTACTTTTTTGGTTTATAAAGCTGATTGTCCTCATTTTGGTGCTCTTTTATTTATCTATTTCAAATGGTATATTATGCTAGGATTTTATGTTATCTGTTAATCATGGATTATTTCTAGTTCAACCTAAGGTATAAGTACGTCGTTTGGTGATACTTTTGAACGTCAAATTTAAGAACTTGCCATGTAAGGCTTTAGCAAAATTGAAATCTATGTAGTCAATTTCAGATAGCAGCCAGCCCCAAATGTGGGATAGCGCGATGGCTGCTATTTGATTGTTTTTTCTTTTTTTGGACAAATTACATGAATAACTATAAACATACATTTAAAGTAAAATTAAACAAATAACTCAAATCCCACTAAAGATTCATAAATCAAAGCACAAAGCTTAGTAAAAAAACACTTAAAACCCAACAAGTCTTACTCGAAACTCTTAATCAACATCAACAAGTCTTAATCAAAACATTACATCCTAAAACTCAAACTTACTAAATCAGTGGGATTTGGGACCTTGTTCCTCTTTCTCTAGGGAAGTCAATTGTTGGATATTGATGGATTATTGCGGTTAAAGTTGGTATTGATGGTGAGGTTGGTTGGCTTTTAGCTGCTGAATGTTCCACCTGGTTCTTTGGCTTGGGTTATGCAGACACATTTTCGCTAGTGGCAAAACCTGACTTCTGTTTAGTTATTTTGTCTATGGTTGCTATTTCCCACTAACCTCTTCACTAGATATTAAGAATGCTTTCCTATGTAATGGTATCTCATTGAAAAGTTTATAAAGCAACCTCTTGGGTTTGTTGCTCCTGGGGGAGTCTTTGTTATCCTCACAAAACTCTATAGACTCTAACAGCCTCACAGGACTTAGTTTATTAGATTTTGTGATGTTAATCAATTTTGTATGACTCGAAGTGTGGCAGATCACCCAGTTGTATTGTTGTTCAAGGCACATGTATTTCTTTGGCGGTGTTTGTAGACACATTGTCATCATAGGGAGATCTTCAGGGTGGAGGTGGTATAATCAAAGAATATGATTCTACCTTCCCAAAGTACGCAATGGACATTCTAGACGAAGCAAGTTTGATGATTGCTTACTTCTATATATCTCATTGTCCTCGCCCATTTATCTTTTCTTTATTCCATTAGAGCCAGCGTCTATGGTCCTCTCCCACTGTACCCCAATCCTTTTCTTATCTCTACTCATTTGTGTCATTCCTATTTATAAACCCTTAGTTACAATTAGTTAGAGGAGATATAATTTCTTATGAAATGTCTATTAATTCTTTTGTACATCTTTTTTATTGAAATGTGGGATTTTGTTTCCTCTGATCTCACTAATTAGCTACAGCTGGTTAGAGGAAATACAATCCCCGGTGAAATATACCCTTCTACCGGCACTGCTGCATATACCCATATTATTTGTCAATATCAGGAAGATATTTGTGGAATTATGGCTCCTCTAATTTGACTAGTTAGTTACAACAAGTTAGAGAAGATATAATTTCCACGTGTCCTTGTAGTGCAACACCTTTTCATTTATGGTCCAGTATCAAGAAGAATAGTGAGATTTAGTTTCTTCTAATCTGAATGAGGTGTTAGGGGGCTCTATTTTAAGCCCTGGTACGTTTGTTGCAGATGATATAGTTTTAGATGGATATTTGAGAAAACAAATAAATGGGAAGTTAGAGTTGTGGAAAGAAGCTTTGGAAATTTATCACATCTATCAAGTAGAAGTAAAATAGAGTAAATGGAATGTAGGTTTAGCAAGGAGAGTACTCATTAGCTTAAAGGTGAAAATGGGAGACCATAGCGTGTCTCAAGTTCCATAATTTAAGTATGTTGGGTCTATTGAACAAAATGATAGTTAAATTAAGGAGACGTGAAGTATAGGATTTAAGTGGGGTACTGAAATAATGTTTTAGGTGAATTTTTTATTTAAAAAAGTATGGCTTAAACTCAAGGAAAACTTTTACTTTACCATAGTTGTAGGACATGCTAGTATGAAATTGAGTCCAAGTCAGAAAATGGCCAACAATAAGTCCAACTTAATGTTGTAAGTCATAAGACAAATTCATTGTGGAATAGATGGTAAGAGTCTTGCTTTGTGGTTAGGGATGTGTGAAGATTTGTAGAGGTACTAGTTTGGAAGGTAAATCAAAAAGTAGGCGACTAAGGAAAAATATAAGTCAAACCATCTGTCTAGGACCGACACCGACACTTGTGATTACGTTTTAATTTATTCATTTTTTCAAATTATTACTGGTCTCGACGTGTCTGTTTCGGTGTCATGTTTCTAGTGTCCGTGGTTCATAGCAAACCATTAGAAAGCATTCAAACTCAAATGATCTATAATTGAACATGATTTCTGATGGGAAATTATGGTGTTATTTAATCCATGCAATTGATACCATCTAGCTAGAAAATGCTCTAGTTGCTCAATTGTGATTCTTTATCATCTGATTTCCTTTTAATTTTATTTATCTCCATCTTTATGCATTTCTGGTTTTACCTAAAGAAAAGTGGGATTTTGGCTCTTGAAATTTGACATGAATGCTAGTGCTGCCTCTCTCTGGCTGTTGATTGAATTTACTTTTAGTTTACCACACTTGAATTTTATTTAAGTTATAGGATAAACCAATAACTCATATTGGTTCCAGTCAACCCTCGCCTCCGGTTTTCTTTTATTCTTTCATGGTTCTATAAAATAAAGTGGTTTCAAATGCATTGTACTGTACTAGAAAACGATGAAGCTAGTACCTCAACCTTACATTCTCAATTTCTTAGCAGTTAAAATTTTGGCTGTATGATAATTTGTAGGTTAAAATAGATGGAATATTTCAGGGTTTTCTTTTATTTTGTATGCTTTTAGGATTTTGATTGGAGAATGCTAGACATGGAAGACAAAAGATGATTGTTTTCTGACTTTGTCTTTTGGTTTCAGCAGCACGTGGTTCTAAGAGAAAGCTAGAAAGTTTCAAGGACGAGGATAACTATATAAGTTCCATACCTAAAAATCGTGTAAGTCACTATCTGTATTACTTCTATTCATATTTATCTGGATTCAGATAGACATATACTTGTTATGTGATGGTTAGGCTTTTGAAACAGAAAATTCAACTACACGTTTAACTTATATCTTGTTATCATTCACAGCACATGGAGGCAGGCCTCGCAGTAAAAGCTAATGAAGGTTTTTCTTCAAATAGGTAAATATTACTTGATTAGTTACTAATCAGTCCTTTTTATATATATTCCGTTGACCATACTCTCAGAGCTTGTTTGGCCTGACTTATTGTTGCCTTGTCTTCTCCTTAAAAACAACATTCAGTAAAAGCTCTTTGAGTAAAGCTACTTTTTTTAAACGAAGAAAAAAAACAATAAAAGGACCTTCTTCAAAAGTAGTTGAAAGGAACTTTGGACATTCTTTTGCGGAACTTTTCTTGTTCAACCTGCTTTGAAACCACGGGCTGCCATTATATTATCTTATTCGTACATATTTGTGAAGATGTTTTTCCGGACAACTTTCAATTTAAAATTGGCTTTAAAGTTAGAAAACAACAATACTAACAACTTTACCTTTACTGTATTTCTAAATCTTTTATTCTTATGTACAGATTGGAAGAAGCTGTCCTAGATCTAGTTGCAGATGATGGCACTGGCATTAAGAAACAAAAATCCGTGTATCACTGGGATAAGGTAATGTTAAACAGTTATGGTTGGGTTGTAAAAAATAAATAAAAAACGACAGATTATTTGCTTTTATATCTTTTGCAAAATTTTCCATTTATCTTTTATAAACGTTTTGCTTTCAGAGGAGTAAAAAGTACATCAAGTTGAACAATGGTGACCGGGTTTCTGCAAATGGAAAGGTATATTCATAAGCCTCTATCTTTTATGTTCACTTGGTATGCAATATGGTATTCTTTTATTTTACCTACCTGCAGGATTTAACATAGCATTTTAATTTCTACCCGAGTACAGATAAAGACAGAGAGTGGTGCAAAAACAAAGGCCAACAAGACTGGCATCTATAAAAAGTGGAAAGAACGCTCACACTCCAAGATATCTCTTAGAGGGACAAATACTGATGGTGATGCTCAGGAATCAACAAGTTCAAAAGGTAGTATACTTAATTCACTACTTTTATGGTGTTAAAATCTTGTTGGTATTTACGGTGAATGATATACCTTTCTGATTTCTTGTAACGCAGGATCTTACCGAGGAGGTGGTAGGAATTTTAGAGACGGCAGGAAGCAGCATTCAATGCCCAATGCTCACGTGCGTCCAGAAATCAAAGATATGGATCAAATTCGAAAGGAGAGACAGAAGAAAGCCAGCAAAATTTCTTATATGAAGAGCAAGTCACCAAAGGGTAAAAAATCTGGCAAAAAGGGGGGCAATAAGGGCAACAAGGGGGGAAGTAAAAGAAGAGGGGGTAAGTAAAGTAAGTAACCCAAGTGATAGGAAAACATGAATTTTGTTCATTATTATTTTTTATCTGTCAACAAATTTTGTATGTTCAAACTTCAAAGTAATATATTACTATGTGTTGCTTTATATTCATGTTTTCATTCTACGGAGCTAACATGTTTTCTTTTGGAAACATCTCTTTTCATGATGAACCCAAAGCTCTAACTACATAATTTATATTCATTGCACATCAAGTTGTTTCTATTTCTATCTACACACTTTTGTAAATAAACTATATCATTCTCAATGCATAACTTCATGAGACAAATTGTTAATAGTTAATATTATTTTTTCTCTTAGTCAACATAGATTGAACCCAACTCCTTTAACCTTTAACTCAACTTATTCAAATCAGTTAAGTTACTAAGTGATGATTAGTGATGATTAGTGGTGCGTAAATTAATTTGTTGTGCTTTTTAGCCCTTTATTTCCAAACTCTTAATAAATTCCTTCCGCTGATGCTTAAATACATTCATTCACTTTATAGTTCTTATATTTAAGTATTTGAGTTAGTTTATTGTGTTCATTAGCTAATCTACTATATTAACCACCTGAAATATATTCATTAAACCCTATGAGTATATGATCAATTAATATTTAAATTAAGTTTTGCATTCCTCATAATAAACATTTAACATAAACAAACACATATCAAAATGTTAAGCATTCCCTTACACCACTTTAAACATAACTCATTCATATTGAATTCCACATAATCTAACATTAGTGTATCAGTTTATGGTGAGCAAGACAGTACTCTCCCTTTTGATATTATCAAAAAATGATTGAATAGAAACTTAACTTTGAGAACCACATCGGGATTGAAAAAAGGTTGGGCATGAAAGTTTTTAAGATAATTTTTCCCATTTTTATGATGGAATATGCATTACCCCGATTCCTACTTCTACAAATTTACCTTCCTCATTTTGGTCAATGTAGTATGAGGTGTTTCATGGGAGTTGAGATTTATTTTTGCACATCAAAACTCTTAAGTAGATCTTGATTTGCTTAAACATTTTAAGTTCATTGATTTTACAATTTCATTTAAGAAAAATCCATCAACGGTTATACAATATTTTATACTAACTAGTTATTCTCTCAACACTAAAATTTACAATATAAAGTGTGTATGAAAAATATTAAAAATAAAGTATAAGAGAAGGTGTTATTTAAAATTCTTGTGTGCTGTGAAATGAACATAAAACCTCCCTTCATACTAAAGGATTTTAGACAAATTCAAAATTTTTGGAAAAACCCAATTCAATTTATAATCGATTATGCCCTAACAAATAAGGAAAGTTTTGTTTGGATTTAAACCACAATCGATTACTAGGTCTTCACAATAAATTACTAATCAAATTTGTCTTATAATAGATTACATAACTACCATAATCGATTATAGGTCAAATTTCACTTCATAATCGATTATAAACACTTCCTAATTGATTATTCTTTTTGAGAAGAATTTGAAAAGACATGAAGTTTTAAAAGTATTCTTGTGAGTGTGTGTATTATTTTAGTAGTTGAAGAGCAACACACTTAAATTACATAATTGATCCTAAAAAGATATAAAATAGAGCATATGATGAAATGACAAGCTTTTTGCATTTCAGTCTATTTCATGATGTTGTTCATTTTCATTTAATCTTTAACCAATTATCAGAAATTTTTCTCTTCGTTATTATTTGATGATATTTTTGTTATCTTAATTTTTCATTCTTTAACATCATAAAAATTGTTAATCATCTTAAGTACATAAAATCACACCTTTCACATGAAGTGAGAGGGTGGGTAGGTGAGGTATTTTTCTTGGACTCACTATTTCTTTTTGTGTGGACATTTGTACAATAAGAAAGATGTTAAAGTACTTTGTTGATGGATTGATCATAGATTCAAATTTGAAAACCCATAATATTTATGCGAGATGAATATCTAAGGATCCTTTCTATTTATTTTGATCATGCATGTTCAAACTCCTATCAAATATTCTTGACCATGGGCACCAATAGGGGCTAGGTTGTATATGCCATTTTTCTATATGATAGGATTTTCATTGATTGTCTAGGTTATTCTTTTCCAATATATGACACTGTTTTTAAAGATAGGGGTTGCATAACATTTTTGTTGTTAAAGAAGAAGATTTTGTGTCACCTTATTATGACACTCTCTTAGCCTCATTCTAACTGTTGGAACTTCATCCATGCATCCTAAATTGTATGTTAGTATTCAGGTCTATCAAAATGTGTGTGTCTGTGTGTCATTCAACATATTCTCTCTAGTTTATGAGGCCTCCAATTCCAAAGAAAAGCTCAAAAGATAATCTCTTTTAAGTAGTCCTATAGGGTTTTTGAGGTATTCACGGATTGTACATTGAATATGTATCTATGAAAGATAAGAGCTTGAGGTTAGACGAGCTTTCCATCATTTTATTGTTGCTGTTGAGTAAGGGGTAAACATCCTTGAGATATGCCTTGTTGAGATCAAAGTAATCAACACATATTATTCATTTATTGTTTGACTTCTAACAAACACAGAATTTGAAAACCACATGTTATACCTTGAAATTGCTCCAAGGCAAATTATTGATTAATTGTGTTTTGATGTCTTGTCATATTTAAATTTATCGTACTTTTTGAGTTCCTCATATAACACCACACTCATACTAGGTTAAAATTGATTTTCATGCATAAAATGTCAATTTGACTAAAGTTAAGCTTAATTGATTCAAGTTAATATTGATGAATTGACTCGTATGTACATATGAATCGACTTGTGCATACATGTGAATTGAGTCATGAATGTTTATTTCAGAAAATTATGGTTATTCTTCTGATATGTGTTAAGTTATTGCATCTTCATTATGTTTATTTTTCTACTACCGTGTCTTAGAAATAAAGTTTTTAACAAAAAGGGGTCAAAAATCTAAGGGGGCTCAATAGGAATTAGGACCTATAACCTTTTACAAACAAAATAGAATCAATAAGTTGGAAAATTTTCCTTTTAATAGATTAAATCTAAGACTTAATCGATTAAGATTGTTTGAAATTCAAATTTTGCGCCAATTAATCGATTAAATCTAATGTTATAATTAATTAAAACCTAAAAATTTGCTACTGTTCCATGCTTCAAATTAAAATCGATTGGCATTAAAGGCTTAATAGATTAAATTATCTTTTAATCGATTAAAAAGAGTTCTATAAAAAGGTAACCTTCCTCTCATTCTTCTTCACCCGTTTCATCTTTTTTCTACTTGCTTCTTATTCTTGTTTTCTTGTATTTTTGTTGTTGCTATTTGTGTTTTTTTTATCATCATTATCACAAAAAATGACACCAAAGAAAATATGTATTGTCGACAGTTCTTTTGCTCAAGTTTATGCCTTCGAAGAATTCTCATCTCAAGATCAAGAAAACACCTTTAACAAGCACTTTGCCAAATGTCAACGCATCCTAACTCATTATGTTAATGAGAGTTATTTTGAAAAGTTAGAATTCTTCAACTCCTTCACTCAAGCGAATCTAAGGTGCTTTGTCTGCAACAAGCAAGGAGAGCTATTTTCGAAGATGGTAAAAATGTTTTACTCAAATCTCTGCTACAAGGATGGGAAAATCACAACTAAGGTAGGTAAGACTCAAATTTCTCTATCTATTGAGGAATTTGTTGTTATTTGTGATTTACCATACTCTGGCTCTCTTAACACTTCTAAATCTCTTAGTGTTGTGGAAAGTTTTGATTTTTTGTCTTCTCCACAAACACTTCTAATTGACCCATCAATAAGTCAAAAATTCTCTCTTACTATGATTTGTGACTCATAATGTTCGTCTCATTATGTGGCTACACATGCGCTAATCCCTAGGACGTTCAACCTTGCATAAGTGTTGAAAGTGTGGTAATCACATGGTTACTTGCCAATATGATTGAGATAAACTAGGCTAGTTGGGGTAGTTCTGTTTGACATGTGACTCTATACACAAGAGGGGTGAATTGCAGAGTTTTGAAAAAATGATTATTTAAAACAAAATCATTTGAGAAATCAGAATTTAAAACCATTTTATAAAATAATTGATTAAATATGTAGTGGAAATTAAAATTAAAGAAAATAATTGAAAAATAAAAGAGATTAAGGAAGAGAAATAACATCAGAGAATTATACAGTTTTAACCAAGAAAATTTAATCTTGTCTCTAAGAATTATTCTTGAGAGTATCCACTTTGAGAGCTTTTAGAAGGTTATGCTCACAAACCCCTTATACAAATAAACTAATTTGCATGCTACATTCTAACCAAACAACAGTTAATACTAATAGTTAGTCTTCAAACCAAACAACAAATTTGCACAGGTTGATCTCGAACCAAGACAAAGTTTTAAGTTGGATGTGCTCTGAGTTGAACCGAGGTCTTATACAGGCTGACCATGAACTGTACCGAAATGTTTAACAAACTAATCTCAAACCTAATGATTTTTTACACTAGGTTGAAATTAGAAACCAAGTGAGATTTTAATTGGGTTGATCTTGAACCGGTAGAGCTTTTAACAGGGTTGAGCTTAAGAACTATTGTTGAGATTTTCATTGGCTGGTGTTCATGAACCAAAATGGAGTTTTTTCTTCAATGATGGAACTTATGAACCAAACATAGACTTCATAATCTAACCTCCACTACAAACAAGAGCTTTTTAAATGGTTTATCTTAGAACCAAAATATCAACTTCCTACAGACGAATTATTTACACAAGAGAAAATTCCCTTTTGGTAAATTTATAATTTTTCCCTCACTCATAATAATATTCCTCACTTAGACCCAAGAACAATGTTGAAACACTACAAAAATATGATATTTAGATAGATGATTAGAGAAATGAAAAGCGAGGTTTTTCCTGTTTTCTAGACGTTAAAAAGTGATAGAGAAGCTCTCAATATATATGTCAAAGTGTGGTGTAAATTTGGAAACAATCCATGAGCCTCTTAACTCACCTA